TTGTTAGTAAGATAATTATAATGTTTCATTATATATCTTATAAATACTTCTACCACATATTTCATATTCATGATTGTTATTGAAAGTAAAATTCAAACTGGATTAGATTTAGTATCAATATCTGTACATTCTTAACCATGTTTAATTGTATATAGATATTTTGTATGTGATATTTAAAGTATTCTGCACGAAAAATAATAAAACGATACAGTAACAATGACCTGATATGCTAACCTACTCCTGTTAAACGAAAAGTAGCATCTTGAACATGTTATTACTTTATGTTGTATGTATAAATATATATTTATAAAAATGTGATGAAATAAAGTTAATAAAATACACGTTCAAATTTTCATAATAAAAATGTAGTTGTTTAAGAAAGTTTCATTCACATCCAATAACAACGTTTACAATGGTTAAACAACGTTAAATAATTTGAAATTAACTTATGTAAAAAAAAATTAAACATAATTTTAAATGGAGTTTCATTAAATCAATAGCTCACAAGCGGTTAAATATAGGAAATACTATACGATGTAATATCAACATTAATTTTTTTCATCTTTTAAAATTTTTTTCAAAACTTTTGCTGTGAATAGTTTCCAAATCCCCAGTTTTTGCAATTACATAATTTCCAAATTAATTTGTTCATATCCATATGATTTGATTTTGTATACTGACTGCTCACATGTTATTACAATAATAACAACAACAACAACATTTTATTTGCATAAATGTCATAACAACATAATAGCCATATAGTAAACATAAAATAATGTAAACAGTGGTACAAATTCAAATCTAAAATAGTACAAAAAGGTTAGCACGGGAAGCCCCTTAAGATGAATTTAATTTCTATTTCTATTGCAAGATGCAAAATAAACATTTTTACCTAAAATAATTAATTCTTTAAATTACACTTCTATATTGTAATCTGTGTCATTCCAAATAAAGTATATATCTTCTGTTCATAGTGTGGTTACCTGTTGTATGTGGAGTTTATATTGTAACATATTTTCTCTGTATGTTTTCAAAAGGTGTTTATTGTACATTTCAAAAGAGATTGTATTGTAATTATCAGTTGTTGTTCTTTTTCGAATATCAAATTCGAGCATTATATATCTTTAATAATAACACTTTCTAATCAAGTAACATTTCTCTTTCAGATCTAGGCTACCGTGGTCGCGTCCTGTACTGTTGAAACTATCTCCTGCAGTTTTGATGTGTTTTTGTAGCTATATGTCGTGAGCTGTCTTTGCTATCGATGCTGTGCTTCCTAGAGTGGAAAATCCCTGTGTAAGTCTGGTGATGAGGTCCGTTTGGTTGCCTGGTGTGTCGCTTACTTGCTCTTTTAATTCGTCATATGTCGTCTACTTTGTCTTTTAATTCGTCATATCTATTGTTTAGTGATAACATGTTTTGATGTTTGTTTGTTTGTTTGTTTCATTTTACGCCTTTTTCCAACAGTATTTCAGTCATATAGGCGGGTAGTTTCCTAACCATCGTTCCTGGAGAGTTACACCAGTACTAGACTACCTTCCTCCGCGCTAAACTACCAAAGCATCTCCCGGGGATATGTTTTGATGTGTGTTATGTAAGGTCGTGTCTGATCTCGTCTGATATCTGTTTTATAACTCCGCTGTCAGGTCTTTCAGTGGTTGAACTTGTGTGTTCAGTGTAAGTTCTGTACTTGTAAGAGTTGCATGTATGTTTTGTATGATCGGAGTCAGTCTTTACATTAGTCCTGTCACTTCCTCTTATTGTCAGTTGTACGTGTTAACGTCGTTTTTTGTGTGTGTAATGGCTTGTTCTTGGTCCGTATTGTCATAAGATCTGTGTTACAGGTGCTGAAATTACTACAGATAATGTAAATAAAATCCTGAAACAATATTTGGACTTGTATTTGATTTTTCCCTCAAATATATTATCCAATCATTAAAGCGTGTCGTTTCAGGTAACATTCTATTTATCTATCTATCACTCTAACTGTGCAATTTACACCTTATTCTATTGTTATGCTCAATATTTGACTGTATCGACCAATCGAAGTGTATAATATCGATGAAACTACCATGTCATAGTAGCGTAGTCGGGCATACGCACTAAACGAAAACGCGTGTTTTAAAAAAAAATAAAAGGTCTTAAAAGTTAAAAGAAAGTTGTCGAAATCAGTACCGTAACCCTGTTTAGGCATCGCCGAGAGTTTTGACTCATAAAGTTATTTGAGTTAACTAATAATTATTATAAGATTGAAATAAAGAGAAAGTGCAAAATTTTTGTGCTAGACAAGGTTTTTTTTTCAAGCTGAAAGTAATAAAATGTAATATATCTATTCATATATAATTTTGTTTTTTCAAACACCGTAGTAAGTGCATTGGAGTTCCTGGCAAATGAAGGGGACAAGAAAGCTGCTGCCTACTAACTATATGTGTCGACGTTTGAAATTGCCATAACATCTCTGACGACAGAACACTGTTGCCTTAAAGGGTTGGGGCATCAAAATTGTGCAAGCAGCCGCCTTTTGTGCAAGCAGCCGCTTTTTATCCATGTATGATCTTAAGAGGCGACTAAATGGTTTTGAACTTCTGGAGTCTATCTATCTCTTAGCTCCAGCAAGTGAGATGGTTTTAGCCCTTGTATTGCTATAAGTTTGTGAACTCCCGATGTTAGGCAAAATCATCTTCCCAGTTTCGGGAGCATATTACCTAAATTGTGTTAGTGCGTCATAAAAACAAAACCAAACAAACAGAGGGAAGCTACATGCACAGACGATACAATGGATGTGCAGGTGATAAAGACGAAGCTACTTTCACCAAGAAAGTCGATGACATTGTGAATCAATAGGGCACTTGCGTTGGGCCGTCCACAAGCTCGTGAAACATTACCATTGGCTATTGAACAGTAATATCCGTCCTTGTTTTGGTAGTTCTGCTCATTATGCAACATTTTCTCGGGAAAAAACCCGAATACCCGGAACATAAAGAGGGGAGGGGGGCGTCCCTCCTTTAACCCTCCCCCAGGGTGTATTATTCGTTTTGGCCTCGCTTCGCCACTGCCAATAAATAATTTAAAAGTAAGTGCATTACCCTTTATTAAAATTGACATGTAAAGAGCACAAAAACAAAAACGATTCAATAAAATACTTATTTGTTCCCACCACATCAATGACATCGATCGATACTGTTTATACTGCCATAGAGAAGAAGTTAAAAATGAAAGAGCACTAGTGCACGCTGCTGAAAAAAAAATGAAATAAATGATAGAACAGGAAATAAAGATGGATTAGGTGTTACGAAATTAAATATCTTCTTGTTTAGAGGGAAATTATACCTGAAACATGAATACAGTTTTACTTCTTTCTAAATCTTATATGTTTATATGTTGGTTTTAGAGCATTTTCGATGCCTGTTTCCTGAAGAAGGTAGCGTTTAAATGTGAAACAATTTGTCATAAAAGTAGTGAAACTTAAACAAGGTAGTATTTTGGCTTCCATACAAAAGATTTAAACCACTATAGAAAGCAACCGAAGAAAAAGATGTTTCAGGTAATTTGTCAATAAGTAACATCTTGGAAACTATAAGAGTATACATGTACAAAAAATAAAATGTTTTTGGCAAAAAATGCATTTTGGGGCAAAATGGGCATTTAACATTATATAAAATTTTGATTATATTAATGTATATGTGAAAGCCTTCCTTTATAAATTGATCGCAAGATTTCCGCAATAAAGGCCATCTATGTTCAAATAATTTATGAAAATAGTTTGTTGAAATACACTTTTTGAATAATGATCTGTCTTTCCATATTCATTCACTATTCAACTTAATGTGCACATGAATCAGCACATTTTGAACATTTATATAGTTTTTAAACATTATCAAATTAAACAAATAAGAAATCAACAAAATGCAGACAATGTTAAAAAGAGGCTTAGAATGAGGCTTTAACGTATTATGTACATCAGAATTTTAGTTTTAATTTAATATTATTTTATTGCAACTATCATTTACATCAATACAAGTAAAGTTACATACAAAAACAGATATAAAGTGAAAATGGGTCGGGTTACAAGTTATTAGCAACAGCCCGCCCCACAACGTCATTGTTTAAGATATCGATCTTCATATTAAAAAAAAGACGCCAATCTACCTCTGGCAGGAAAAATACTAACAATGCTAAGAAAGAAAGAAACTCATAAAAACAATAATAAACCCTTGCACATAAGTCTAAGAATGTATGAGGAAATGATGTTGGTATCCTTTTTTCGTTATATTTGACTATTGTTTAGACCATAGATTGCTTACAGGTGGTGGAGAGGAAGTGGCATGTGCCGCTTAAAATTCTGCAACTATGATAATATGTGCATACAACATTGGATCTTTTTAAAATTATTTTTGTAATGTATTTCTTTCAAAAACATATCAAATCAGCCGAATATTTGAATGAGTTTGATTATTTCTTCTTCGACTATTTCTTTGTCAAACCAATAGTGTAACATGCACATAACAATGGCTGTTTTTACGGAGTTTGATAAGTTATTAAAATGTAACTCATTAATGTGCAAATGTTACGATAGCTAACTGCATGTTTATAAATACATCATCAATTTTGTAAATTTTAAACCGGAACTCCTTCCCAAACAAGTTACTTATAAATATTCGCCGCTTAGCTATGCAAACCATTTATTTAAGGACCGATATGTTTACACATGCAGATGTTAAATTCACCTCCGAACCCCTTGCCATGCTATTTATCCTTGTTTTTACAAAACACAATCACGGCTTCATCCGAATGGAAGAAAAAAACAACAAGTTCTCCTTCTAAATCCTCAAAACCTCCAGGTCTTTGAGAGGCACCAGGGGAAGAAATGACGGGTGCATATATTTGCATTTTATCTTCCTTCTTTCAAAACATAAAATAAAATCATTTCAACAGATAAATTAACGAATTAAGAGTTACGCTGTTTATATTAAGATTACAATCTAAACTCTAAGTTTGTTTCAATTGTTAACAAGTTCTATGATAGATGCACATACATTCTCCCAAGACGTTTTCGGTATATAGTTATCGTTTTCCTTCGTAAATAAAATTCGCGTCCTGTGTTCATATAAATCCAGCATTTGACCATTCATCATTTCTGTATCTATTTCATCCTTAACCATAAGAACGATAGGCTTTTCCAACAAGATAGCGTAATCAAACTCATTCCGACAATGTACACTTTGAATGTAATGATCCGTTAAAAGAATCACCACTACAGACGATTTACGAAGAAACTTTGACATTTGCTCTGGAATTGGTCTGCCAATTTGAAAATGTTTGTCTCCTTCACAGACTAGATTACTGTCCTTCCCTATCTTTTGCTGAAGATTCTCATTTAATTGATTAAAGACGTACTTGTTGACAAAGTCATCGTCGTTACTGCTGTATGAAAGAAACACAACAAATTTGTTTTCGTCAGCCCCCTCTCTAATGAGAGCAATGCGATCTTCCATTTCACGTTGATATTTTCGCTGACGTTGGCATCTCTGTATTTGGAATAGAATAGCTACAACTGAAATTAATGCAAGAACAGATGCACAACATATTGCGATGATCACTTTGGGTCTATTACATATCTCCTGTATTTCATTAATGGTGTTATCAGTAATAAATATTTTCTTGGAGTCCTCGTTTTCACATTGTAGGCCAAGATTATATGTTGTGATTGAAGCTGAGTTTTTAAGCCATTTAATGAAAGCAAGGGAGTTACATTTAGAGCACTGGATGGAGTTTCCTTGAAGTAGTAAATGAACATTCAATTTGTCAAATGTATCAAAGGTGGCTGCATCGATGACTTGTATTCTATTTCTTCTGACATCTACTGTCCGGAGATGCGTCAAGTGATTCACGTCACAAGAAAATTCAGTTATCTGATTGTCTGATATGTCTATGAACTCAAGTCTTAGATTGTATGCAAAAATGTATTTTGGAAGACGTGTTAATCCATTTGAAGCTAAACTTACAGTGCTTAGATAAGAAAGGTTTTTGAACATCTTTTCGAACAAATTGAAATCTTCTGCCATCATACTGTTCAGTTTGTTTCTTGAGAGATCAATGTCTGACAGTAATATGAAACTTGAAATTGCATCCGGATGGAGGTAATGGATATTGCATCCTGACAAATATACTTTTTTAAAAGTGCATCCAGGTATGGTGAGTTTTAAGTCCACCCTATTGAAATTATTGTTTCCAAGGTGTAACACTCCCAGCTTAAATATATTGGCTCCTAACACATACACTGTTATATTGTAAATAGATATCGATGACTTTTTTGGGAAAATACCTGCCAGACTTAAACTATTGACGTTTTGTATGAAAAGCATTGACTTCATCCAGTCAAAGATTATTAGTAAATTTTCGTTTCGTTCAATAAATCTCTCGACAGGAAAAACCTTAGATGGAAAAACTGCATTACTGGCATCAATTGATTTAAGGTTTGTACATAACTTCTGAGGTTTCCAATCACCCTCAAACTCACTTATCCTCACATTTGAAACATTTAAATGTTTCAGGTGAGCACAATTCAAAATGAAAGCTGTAATGTTAAGAAATTGAATTTGTGTTGAACTTATATCGAGTTCTCTGACTTTTTTGTCGGCAATTACTTTGAAAAATCGCTCATCTAAGGTGATACCGTCATGATAACTATCAAGAAAAGCTAAGTTTAGATACTGAAGGTTAGACACAACATTACTGTTATCAATTGCATTCAGAACATTTTCCAAGTTTAATCTTCGGCATCCTGATAAATCTAAACGTTTTAGATTTTCTACACCAATAAATGAGTCAGATGCAATTGTATGTGTATCTTCTAATTGGATACGTAACACTTCTAACTTGTTTAATCCAAAGAAACAAAGCGAATCGAATACTTCTACTGTATTATGTTCATCGAGCAAGTCCCTACTGGCAGAGATTTCAAGTTTTGTGATTTGCCGCCAGTTATATGTCGAAAATAATCCTTTGCTCAATGTTTGTTCCAATATATTTATGAGACTAACTGTCCTCGTGCCGACCGGAATAGCCGCCGGGATATAATTGCAGGTGATTACAGCATTTCTTATGATGCAACTTTTAGATTCAGACGTAGTAGATGTAGATGGGGAACCAAATACACCAACAAAGAGAACATATAGATAAATGCAAAACACATAAGCAAAATATTTATCCTGTACATGCATGGTTTGTGCTTTACAACTCACAAAATACAACTCGTTATTGTTTGATTATACTCCAGTGTTTAAGAGAATGAATGACATGTAAAGCTTGCCTCTCCACCCTTTAAGGTTTAGAAGTATTATACTGTGTCATGCAACATAATAGGGTATCATATGGTTTATTTAAAACTTCCGTGTGTGTGACTATGTTTGTGTGTAAGTTTATAAAGAATGAATCGCAGGCCGAAAGCTGACCGTATAAATTGAAATATAATCCTTAATATCATGCTCAACAGAACTTAATTTCCGACTTTAAACACAGTCATATAAAAAGTTTGATATAAGGAAACTGGGATAAAAAAAATTGGACCAGAAGGAAATTTTACTTAACAAAATATCCAGTAGCAGACGACAGAAAAACAGTATCATTGTGATCATTGAACAAGCAAAGCTAAGTTTAATAACAGAATTGTTAAAATGTAAATACTCATCCATTTTATCTCAGCTATCATATAATAATCGGAACATTTTGGCGTTTTATCAATAATAACTGAAGTTATTATCATAAATTATTCTAATTTTTAATAATATCCCGAAGTTTTACGGAAAATGCCGAGAAGATGCCATTGTATCATATAAATGTCATATTTAATTATTTTAGTTATTTCTTCGTTTTCTGTATTATCTTTGAATCGAAAAGAAAATAAAGTCTATTTCCGTAAAATTATGATTAAGAATATGCCTGACAATCATAATCACTTTTAACATGCCCACTGATGTAGCAATATAAACAAATCCGAAATAATTTCAACCGGTAGACACGTTTTTTTTCTACAAACAAAAATAATGTACTGTTTACTTTTATACCTATATAAATTTACTTGATTTATTTGTACTTTTACTTGATATATTGGAATAAACTTAGTCAACAACTCCAAGCATTTTCGAAGTACCGTACCTTACTGATTCTTATGGAAAAAGCCGAGAAGATAAATAGCGATTGCATATATATCGAATTGTCGAAGCGATTGCGTATATTAAGTTGTTCGGCCAGATATAACTTAAGCAAAGTATACATACGTACTGTTATAAGTGTTCTTTAAATTACGATTTAATGAACAGTAGTGTAGGTCTATAAGTGATGGGTTTCATGCTTAAATTATTGTTTTAAATACAATTTCACACAAAGGGATATCAGAGAGCAACAGCAACATGTATGAGTCCGATTTTGTCTAAGCCTTTACCAATAAAATATTTGTAAAGATAAATGAGCCATGTCGCGACAAAACCAACATAGTGCGTTTGCGACCAGCATGGATCCAGACCAGCCTGCGCATCCGCGCAGTCTGATCAGGATCCATGTTGTTCGCTATCAGTTTCTCTACTTGTTATAGGGTTTGTAAGCGAACAGCATTGGTCCTGATAAGAATGCGCGGATGCGCAGGCTGGTCTAGATCCATGCTGGTCGCAAACGCACTATGTTGGTTTGTCATGACACGGCTCAAATCTGTTTATGGATCCCCCACTGTTCGGCTAAACTTGTTAAATATAGATACATCGGATATAGAGGATATTGAATGAGTGTAAGTTCAATACTGAATTTATTGCACGAGTTGAATAAAATTATATTATGCGAGCCTCTGGCGAGCATAATATTATTTTATTCAACGAGTGCTATAAATTCAGTAATGAACTTACACGAATTTAATATTCTATTTATCACATACCCAAAATAAAGACCGTTTAAAGTGAAATAAGAGTCATTTTTCATTGACGCGCCTATAGTATAACGCTAACATTTAGCGCGTCTTTACACTATGTTTGTATATAGAGAATAATAGGTTGGTGCCGTGGATTGAGAAAGTTTATCTGGCGAGGCGGAGGAATTTATTGGGTGAGCCGAAGGCGAACCCAATAAATTCCGGAGCAGAGCCAGATAAACTTTCTCCATCCACGACACCAATCTATTATTCTATTTATCCTGTCACCGTTTTTTAAAGAATTTTATAAGGCAAACAACCTTTAATCACACTATCGGAAATGTTTTTATATAAACAAAGAAGGCCCTAATTTTTTCTACACCAATGCACTCGCCGTTCTTATTATCTCCCCGTGTATTTTCACATTGAGGGCGCCATTTTGTTTGAAAAATGTGATAAATAAAAACAATTTTTTGTCGAATTTTGTTGTGAAAACTATCTAGAATGAAAGAAAATGGTCTAACTAAGAAAATAAATTCGAATACCAATATCTTTTATTCAGTCGTTAACGCTGTACAGACGTTTAAAGTATTGTTTACGTGACGTCACAATGTAGCGCCAAACAGCACGTGCAAAACAATCAAATCAAGTACGCTATTCTAAAATGTCGCAAACAGTTAAGTTTTACATTTATTTCACTTTAAATAATTTTTTATTTCGCTTGAAAAATTATAGAGTGAAATAAAATAAACAAACAAAGTTTTATCAACGTTTCCAAAATTCGTTATTCTACACACAGAAGATTTAACGACAGTTTTTATATTTTTTCTTGAAAAGTAGTCCGGCAAACATGCATACCACGTGATCAAGTGCCGTAGATCAGTAAAAATATACGGCACCTTGTTATCGGGCCGAAATTGAGACAAGTGACAGGATAAAACGCTAATGACGTCACGTCAAAATATATGCAAGGCCGTGCAATACCATATTAGGCCAGTCAATATAAAGATACACCTAGAACTAATTGCAAAAGAATTTTTATCAACACCTTACGAAAGAACTTAATCTTAAGTGCTTACCATAAAAAGTCTCGAATTTTTGCATTTGCAATTAAAAAGATAAAAGCGGTTTTATGTAGCGATTTTTTCCATTTTAAAACTTGCTCCAACTACGCTACCATACCAGTAGATTTCACGCGCATTGTTTGTGACGTCACGGAAAATAAGTATGGCGGCGCCCATATTGAATCTAAAACGGCTGTCAACAACCTTCGTTTTGGAACTTCTGAACCGTTTGGGGGTAAAGTACAAGGTTTTTACTTAAAATCTAGGTAGGTTTATATATAACCAATATTTTTTCAGATGTTTATATCACAAATCTTTCGACGATAACGTTTAAACAATAAAGAAATCAGCGAATAGTTCATGCTTGCGTCATTGTAAAAAATTAATTCTAAAAATAAAAATACTTTGAAATTGCATGCAAAAAATCACCTACACGCGTATTATTTAATTTTCTTCATTTGCATTTTGTTATTTGTTTATTATTTATACGAAACAAAAAGAATGAATCGATAATGGTACTTCAGTTTTTGACGACATTTTGTACTACGGAAGCAAATACGGAACATAAATCTAACATTTGGTTTATTATTTTTGTTACTCTATTTTGATTTATTTTTCGCGTTTAATAAAGTTTTATCATTGTAGGAACACAAGTAAAATTCAAAATGACTGTTTAGGAATTTCTATGTGTCATTGCCAAATATAATAATGGCAAGATCATACTGCTAGCTTTTCAAATTTGTTGTAAATAGGGTATGTAAGTCTCGTCATGTGACTTGCGAGATTTCACGATATTTTGCACTTCCGGGTACAAACAAATATCAACAACATTGCTTATCTATATTGGGTAATACTTGTATGCCGGTGGGAAAGTAAAACTTACACGGAAAAGCAAAGGGTATGTGGAAATTGGCAGAGTTTTTTGTTTTGTAACGAAATGCAAATAGTTTCATCTTGTGAACAAGTATCAATGAAAGACAACTTCGTATAATCTTCAGGTGGGTGTGTCATTTCGAATTCAGTTTATCGCAATAAATGTTGTAATATTTTCATGTCCATGTAAATCTAATAAATTTGTTATTTGATACGATATCATTCGCATCTGACTTCAGACTGGTGAATTTGATTTTATCAATTTTCTACAGCGCTACCTGATTATCTCTCAGAAATATAATGTTTAGAAATTTCGGACAGCGCATATTTCGGATAAAACGTTTCAATATGATTATCAGTATGTTTTATTTGAATATATTTTCTTCTAACTGAAAATATTATTTATTATTATTATTATCTTTATAAAGCACAAACAGTCAAGCTTTATATTACCAATTTAAATTGTCATAAAATTTAATGAAATATTTTGCTCGTGTAGATATTTAGACTGCTCATGGACAGTGGTGAGATGAAAGACGTCAGTATCCTATGTAAATACACATGCATGCTCTGCTGTAAAATCGTTTTGGTAAGAAATATATACTTAAAGCTACTTCTACTACATTAATGAAAAATAAATATTCTTGTATACCATAATGTTCTCGTTTTTGTAAATAATTACAGTGTAGCTAAATAAACAAACAGTATGGCATATGTAGTTAATTCATGTTAAATACTGTTTAAAGTATTTTTCTCAAGTAAGTGGGTCATATTTTTTAGTTAAATCATGTTTAGTAAATAGTTAGTAGAACCTAGTCACTAGCACATTTTTTTAAAGATCAGTTGTCAAAGTCAATCTACAAAAACTAGGACACCAAGAAGTGATTCTCCCTTTTCAACATTATTTTCTATTCAACAATATGAAAATGATTGAAATTTACAGCTGACCAATTATTATTGCTTTCAACTCATGATAAATTTTCTTTATATGCAGGTATGTGATTTCATGGTTGGATCTTGAGTACTTAATTGTCATGGCTCTTGACTTATTTTGGAGTGTTCACCATCGGATTAGAAACCAAATAGTGATACCACCAGACATAGTTGAAAGGAAATGTCCATACACAGACTTGAAGTACATAGTGGTAGAGACATGGCAGTCCATTACAGATTTTGACTGAATTAAAGCTTCTTAAAGCTCCATGTCTTGTGTAAACTGTCTGACTGAATGTTTGTATTCTAATAAAAACTAAGGTTAAAGACACTTCAAAGATATATGTCAGTGTAAAAATGTTAAACAAAATATCTGTCTTTGTTAGAAATAAATAACCTGTCTTTGTTAGAAATAAATAACCTGTCATTTGTAACTTTGTATTAACTTAATTAT